GGCGTGCATGACGTTGTCGCACAGCCAGCAGCCGATTGTAAGGTCACCTGCAACAATTGCCTTTTTGCAGGCTTTGACGAAACAGACAATATTTCCGGACATTGTATAGACTTACCACTGTACTTGTACTTTGAAAAAAAATAAAAACAGAGCAATTAAGAAAGAAGTGAAGAGTCTCAGCGAGAGCGAGAGAGCGGGAGAGCGAATAAGTTCAGATTAGATAAGAAGTGCAGCGGCACAGCTTAAGCGAGAGAGTGAGAGAGCGTGGGAGATGGATAGATAAATCGTTTAGCTGTTGCGACAGCGCAAACAAAAGCTAGACGAAGAAGGCACAAAAAGGAATGCAAAATATGCAAAATCTAACACTAGCAGCACAACTAAATTGGAAAATAAAGCCAATTATGTACACAAATTAGAATAGCTGCATGCACACGCGAAGTGAACGGGAAGTTATAAACACAAATTAGAAAATTTAAGTTAACCCCGGTGGTTAGAATCAATCTTTAATACAAAACGAGAGCGCAAGAAAAAAACACGTCCGTTCACTTGGAAAGATGAAATAGTTTTTTTCTACGCAAACTAGTCTCTCAGTTTTGAAGCTATCTGAATGAAACTTTGTAGTTAGCCTTCTATATACTCTCACTCGTATATATGTCGGAACGTGCCGGATCGGACGACTATATCATATAGCTGCCATAGGAATGATCGGAAAATTTTTACAAAAAAAATTTTAACATTTTCAGTTTTCAATAGAATTGGATCAAATTTGAGATATAGCCATTTTACTATACTTTACAATTTTGTATAAAATTTTATAAAAATCGGACTACTATATATGATATAGTTCCCATAGGAACGATCGAGAAATTAAGATAATTAAAAATTATAACTTTTTCAGTTTTCAACAGATTTTCATCAAATTTGAGGTGTAGCCATTTTATATTAGTCTTAAATTTTGTGTCAAATTTCATGAAAATCGGACGACTATATCATATAGGTGCCATACAAACTATCGTTTGATGTAGAAGAAAAATGGAAATCTGTGAACGAAAAGCTGCAAATATAATATGTATAGGTGAATGAAATGAAAGCAGGTATTACTTCATTGTTTTTTAACACAAATATATATAATTTATATGGTATGGATTCCTAGTCATAGAATTTCTATCTGCAAGGGTATATAAACTTCGGCGTGCCGAAGTTAGCTTCCTTTCTTGTTTTACATATTATTTTTTTATATATATGGAAATTTATAGTAAGTCGAATTAATGTTTTGTCAGTTGCCTAAGAACAACGCTGAGAATAAATTAAACAACGGATTGGTTTTGTGTTCTTTATTCGATTGATATCATCTAAAGACTTAATTCTGAAGTTAAAAATCTTAATTCATTGCCCTTTATTTACATGAACTTGGAAGCGAGGCGCCAGCTTGGGATATTAATCAAGTGCGACCACTTTTTGATTTCAAGAATTGTTTCTGTCACTTATGATGTCCGGATGTTTATTGCTTATGTGAAAATTTCACTATATACGTGTCATGTGTAAACATATAGTTAGTTTTTAGGTTACCAAAGCTTTATAATTTATTAACTTAAAGGCTTCATACATTTCAAACGATGTTTGCCAATGGCGCAAAACTAAAGGAAAATAAGATCAAGTACTCCTTACGTGAAATGTGAGCTGATCTAGCAAGTAGGGGCATAATGATCTTCGGGTTGCGATAAGTGATGCCCCCCTAACCAAGCTGACTCAGTCAGGGTCTGATTATGTACACTTTATACACAAACTACCTTTTGTTTATCTTAGTTTCCTCACATACTAGATCTTTAGGGAAGAGGGTTTTTTTCATATTGAATGCATTATATGAGAAGAATATTCTACCAAAATTTTTGTAAATTAATAATAATAATAATTTCAGTCAATTAAAACAAAATTGACAAAGTTATGAGTATTTTTATACTTGCCGGATTTTCGTTTTACACTGGATTTGATTGTGGTTAAAACTTTAAAGCGTTTTTCCCACAACTCTCACGTTTTCAAAGTCGGTGCCAATCATAACTACAAAACTACTGCACCGATCCATTTGAAATTTTAAACACTATTTCTGTACATATTTTGCGAGGTAAGGCTGTCGAGTTTTTTTTCCATATTTTTGATTTTACAATGACAACGACGATTTTTTCTTAAAAAATCGTGTTTTTAAACGGTTTTATTTAGCTCACCCCGTTTGTTTTCTTTTTTCTTGGGTCAAATTTAGTTATTCAAATTTCACCCTCTTCCTGTCAACCGATTAATCTGAAATTTTGTATACACTTCGGATTTTGGTGACAATACAATTATGTTTATTCATTAGCATCAGAGAACTGCAACGATCAACATTTTTACAATCATACCCGATCATTGACTCGGATTTTTTGTGACGCAAAACTTTGCATTAACAAAATTGTATGATCGTAAGAGAGCATGTTCGAAGCGAATATTCAGTTCCGATCACTCTTGCTTTTATTCAAACGTTTTGTGTGACTTGCAAAGAATGATCGAGAGTGCTCCTTGCATTCAGGCCGATCACAATCATTCATTTTGGTCAAACCTGGTTTGATTCAATCCGATTATTCCATGAAGAAGAATATGTGTTCCTTAGTGTTCTGAGCATACTAATTGTTGAATTTTAGTTTTTAGGATATAAAATGACAAATAAATTATGTTAATCTGTTTCAGTTAATTCTATTCATCGCAACTTCATATGTACATATTATCGGTCTGATTGCATCATTCACAATCAAATCAAATCAAACATGAGCGAACCCCGAGCTGTTATGAATCGTTGGGCTCGATCGTTCTTTTTCTGCACGATCAGTTCCGATCATCATACCGATACCAACCAATTAGTTTGAATTAGCCAGCAGAACAAATCAAGTCAACTGAACGAACTTGTTTGTGTTGTGCCCGAAGCTTGATCGAAAATGTTGTAACGAACCGTTGTGTTAAGTCTTGATTGTTGCTGATCAAACCGGACCGACCGATCATACTTAATGCAGTTCTCTGATTAGCATTATAAATTCAAGATGGCCGCCGCTACAAAATGGCGGCTAACTTAGGTTTTATCAATCCCATCAACATGGGTATCAAATGAAAGGTCTTAACAAGTAGAATACAATTACAACAGAATGCGAAATAAAAACTAAAAACTAGAAAATAAAAATAGGTAAAAAACTTTTTAAGTTAAACGGTTTTATGTTAAACATACATTGCAATGTTTAAGATAAATGTACTGAAAACTAAAAAATAATAAAATAGATAGTCGTGGGAATTATAAACATATGCATAGACTAGACTAAAATAAAACCGTGGGGCACGTCAATTGTCTACAATAGTTGATTAAAATGATTGTTTTGTAATGTTACACTATAATTAGGCAGTTGTTCAACCGACAACGATGGACGTGTGATAAGTAGGGCTAGACTGTGGAAACAAGTTAGCAAGCTCGATTATAAGCGAGTTTTAGGGTATTATAGTGGTGAGCGAGTAGTACTTTTATCATATGTTTTGTCGATTAAAGGCAAACTACAAACAGTGAAACGATTCCTCGCCAGCCAGCAGTGTGAATGTCCAACGATAAACTAATTGAAACATCTCTTTTATTTACATGGAGTGTTTAACTATTGGAATTTCCATGAGAAAAAAAATAGTAAGTAATTTCCTCACCGTCTGCGGGCCAACTGCCGAACGACGAATTAAACGATTCTTCTATCGCACATTAACTCGATAATTTGTAGACAATTGACGTCCCCCACGGTTTTATTTTAGTCTAGTCTATGCATATATTTATAATTCCCACGACTGTATATATTTTATTATTTTTGGTTTTCAGTACATTTATCTTAAACATTGTAATGTATGTTTAACATAAAACCGTGTAACTTAAAAAGACTTTTACGTATTTTTATTCACTTCAGTCTTCGGAAAAATTCAAAAATTGGAATTTAAAAAAGAAAGGAAGCTAACTTCGGCACGCCGAAGTTAATATACCCTTGCAGATAGAACTTCTATGACTTGGAATCCCAACAATATAAATTATATTTATTTGTGTTAAAAAACAATGAAGTAATACCTGCTTTCATTTCATTCACCTTTACATATTATATTATATTTGCAGTTTTACAGTCACAGATGTGCATTTTTCTCCACATCTAACGATCGTTTGTATGGCACCTATATGATATAGTCGTCCGATTTTCATAAAATTGTACACAAAATTTAAGACTGATATAAAATGGCTATATCTCAAATTTGATCCAATTCTGTTGAAAGCTGAAATTGATATAATTTTTGTTGTAAAAATTATCCGATCATTCCTATGGCAGCTATATGATATAGTCGTCCGATCCGGCCCGTTCCGACATATATACGAGTGAGAGTATATAGAAGGCTAACTGCAAAGTTTCATTCAGATAGCTTCAAAACTGAGAGACTAGTTTGCGTAGAAACGGACAGACGGACAGAAGGACAGACGGACATGGCTAGATCGACTCGGCTGTTTATCCTGATCAAGAATATATATACTTTATATGATCGGAGGTGCCTCCTTCACTGCGTTGCAAACTTCTGACTGAAATTATAATACCCTGCAGAGGTATAAAAATATTCGACAGCGTTACTTGGGGTATTCTATAATCTAAAGCATGAATTTTGTTTGTTTTAATTTCCGATGATCTGCACCGAGGAACCGAGTGCAAGATGTAAAATGAAATACCGTTTCATACAAAACAAACAAAAGATGACTTAAATAAAAAGAAGAGCGTTCACTTAATACTGTTGTGTCATAATCACTCAAAGACTCTTGATTATCACTCATAATCTTAAGTGCGAACAGAAAAAATAGGTAAAATTCCATCCAATACACAAAAGATAAAAAATTACTTTAATATATATATATATATATATATATATATATATATATAGTATTTACACATTTAATATTTATTTTACAATATGATCAATCAACTACATTCTGTGTCAATACTTTTAATAGTTTTGGGTATATGCATATATATTAATTAGAAACTAGTGTCACGCCACAAAATTTTGTTTAAAAACCTTTTTTATATGAATTTTTACGACTTATTTGATTCGTTTTGCTTACAAATTCACAAAAAAAGTAAGAGAAAATTATAATGGTAACATTTAACATAATTTTTAGTTTTTTTTTATTTATTAGAATATTGTTATAATTTATGCTGCCATTAAATTTATTTACTTTAATTGTGTACAACAGCTGAGGAATGTTGAATACTACGTTCAAATTCTTCTAAACTAAGCGCTTGGCTTTGATTCAAATGAGGCAGCTTTCCGGCTGAAGCTTTGGCCAGGAGCTCAGGTGAAAACCATTGTGCCAATTGATTATTGTTGGAAGGCGATGGCGATGGTATCCGTTCATCTCTGTGGAAGCTATTACTCTTCAAAACATTGCCAGAGTCGCCGCAAAGTTCATGAAATCCACCTGAAATTTTATATTAAGCATCATTACAAATAATACAGTTTGGGTGGGGGTCATTGTGTTCTTTGTATGTTATGTGATCTCGTTTAAATAAAGAAATGTGAGAGAGGACAAGAGCATTACTTTCACGGATCTTAGTTACACAAGAATGGAATCTAACTTTGGCACACCAAAATTTGTATATTTCTGTTGATTACAATAAGAGTAACAGTTTTACATTCACAGCTTTCATTCTACTCTACTCAACTTGCTTATTGAGTCGTCCGATTTTAATACAATTAAGCTCGAAATTCTGAAATAATAAAAAATGGCTAAATCTCATTGAAAATGAGAATATGATAAATAATATATAAATATGTATATGGGCAATTCTCCAGAAAGATCCACCGCTGCCAAAAAATTAAAACTGCTTAATAACGAGTATTTTTCACATGGTTACATAAAAAATTGGTCAGCTGCTCAAGACTAAGAAAATTTTTCATTTTCTAAAAAAAAAAAAAAAAAAAAAAAAAACAGTGTCAAACACGCGCAAGCGCAAATAATGTTTTTATAAAAAAAAAAAAGTCATACGAAATTTCATGTTTTGTTTTGATGCCAATCTCTTAAACAAAAACATTTTCCTTTTACTTCTGGTTTCTAATATCACACAGAGAATGCAAAAAGTCAATATTAAGTGCAAAAGGACATATGCGATCACCAATGTTCGTACAGTTTTAGTTTGAATTATCACTTTCCAAAATGTCGCGACCGGGACTAAAATTGAATTTAAAAAATAACTACTTTATTTTTTATAAAATCAAACAAAATACATTATTAAGATAATTGATTGCATAAATAATTAAAAGTTAAATCATTACAATTTTTGAAATTGAAAATCGTGAAAACGAACACGGGCCCAAAATCGATCTTAGCACCAATTGTAGTGCTAACCAAGAGCTATACGTTTCAAATTTTGAAAAATTAAAATTGCCAGAGAATTGCCCACATATATATAATTTTTTTTTAGTTAATATCAATTTTAATTAAATTAAAACAGCAATTCTAGAATAATAAAATATTGCCATGTCTCAAGTTGAATAAAAATATGTTAAAAACTTGCAGTTTTAATTTTTTTCTAATAATTGTAAGACCGTTCCATGATCCGATACGGCTCGTTCCAACTGATATACTAGTGCAAGTATATAGAAGACTATCTGCTATCATTCAGATTCAGCTTTAAAATTCAACTTTTAAAACATTCAGCTTTAAAACTGAGAAAATAGTTATCGTAGAAACGAACGGACGGACAGACGGACGGGCAAACGGACATGGCTAGAGCGACTAGACTGTAGCTGCTGATCGACAATATATATTCTTTAAAGAATCGAAAAGGACACCTTCGCTGCATTGCAAAGTTCTGACTAAAATTATAAAACCCTGAAAGGATATAAAAAGGCGCCAGTTAAGAGTGATTGATAAGAATTTTTTTTACTTGGGAAATTCGGTTGATGATTATGCTGCTGGTGCAGTTCGCCATAGATCACACGAGGCCGAAGAGATTGACGCTGCTGCTGCTGGTGTTGCATTAAGAGATTGGGCTGCTGCTGGAAATTATGCTGAGGGTATCCATCGGGAAAATTTATATTTTGATGCAAACTTTCTCCAGTTAAATTTGATTCGACTGAAGTTTTGAAGCGAAGCTGTTGTTGCTGTTGCATCTGCTGGTGATGCTGTTGTTGCTGCTGGAGAGCCTGTTGTAGTTCAATTTTTTTGTTTAAAGAAACGACTGCTGGAATTTGTATTTGCGGCAATGAATTCGGGCCTCCTTTTAGTATAGGGCGACCTGGAAATAAGGATAGATTAGTTTCTAAAATCCTGCAGAGATATCTATTATAGCTCCTATGAATTTTTAATTAATTTCAATCGAATTTTTATTTATTTTCATTTACCAAATGACTTTCCATGCATCATATGCATATTGGCTACACCGGAATTCCATTTTAGAATTTGATTCTGATTGCTGCGACATTGCTGCTGAAAGTTGGGTGACATTTGCTGTGGATTTAGACCGAGGGCAAAGTTGCTAGCGCCGCCCAAAATCATTCTTGGTTGTTGTTGTTGCACTGTCATAGTTGGTGGCTCTTGTTGCGTGACATGTTGTTGTGGATTCAATTGATATTGATGGTTAAGATGCTGGTTGTGAGATGAGTTTTGTAGTGGCGAACATGTTGTATCTTTGTCGGCAGTCATTTTCCTTAGCACTGATGTGGGGGTAAAGGCCAAGGGTGTTTGAGAATTGTTGTTGCCATGGGTGTGACCACTATTAAGATGTTGATTAATTCCATGATGATTAGCTGGATTTAGGTGAATTAAATCTGGAAAGATAATATCTTTACTGGACTTTGGAATACCGTCGGTTTATTATACTCTAATCTTAAGTAGCGCTCCAAAATTAACATTACAAATCATTTCAAATCTTGTAAAGATCCGAGCCTAAAACCATTCGGTCTGAGCTCTTCCACAATCGATCAGACTTGACTAGCTTTTTTACATCTCTAAAGCAGTTTTTCTAAGATGTGCGGAATGAAATACAACAAACTTAAATAGATGTAAACAAAATACACTATAACTAAAGGTACTTATGGTAAAAATTACATAAATATCCACTCATAATAAAATAAATAAATAATAAATAATAAAATAAAATAAAAATAATAAAATAAAATCTTAACTCCAAAGACATCACGCAACACCTCAATAAATACTACACCCACAAACAAAATAGACTGCAAAACCAAACGTCACAATGGTACACACAGATCGCTCATAACACCCCTCCAAATTTCTCTTTCAAAACCACAAACCTCAACAGACAATAACAAAAAACAAGGAAACTATGTATTAATATGTTTAAAAGAAACGAAGTTATGCCTTCTTTCATTTTTATTCACCTATACATTTTATATTTACAGTTTTACATTCACAGATTTGCATTTTTCCTCCACATCTAACGATCGTTTTGTATGGCACCAATATGGTCGTCCGATTTTCATAAAATTTGACACAAAATTTAAGACTAATATAAAATAGCTATATCTAATTTGATGAAGTCTGTTGAAAACTGAAAAAACTTTTAATTGTATTAATTTCTCGATCGTTCCTATGGGAGCTTTATGATATAGTAGTAGTTTTCATAAAATTTAACTCAACATTTTAGAATAATTAGAAATGGCTATATCTAAAATTTGATATATAATACATAATTAATAATTTTTAATTGAACTAATTTATCGATCCCGATTTTCATAAAATTTTACACAAAATTGTAGAATAATATGAAATGGCTAAGTCTCAAATTTGATTAAACTCTGTTGAAAAGTGAAATTTTTCGAATTTTTTTTTTATAAAAATTTTTCGATCGTTCCAATGGAGTCTATATAATATAGTCGCCCGATCCAGACATATATACGAGTGAGAGTATATATGTAGAAGACAAAGTACAAAGTTTCATTCAGATAGCTCCTCTTCTTCCTCCACAAAACCAACCTTATATATTTTAAAAACAGTGGATTTTTATGGAAAACAGTGGAAATATAGAGGTAACCGTGAAATAATATGGAAAACGGTGAAATTAAATGTGAGGAAAAACTAAAAGTTAAAATTAAAAATTACGAACTAAATTATACAATTAACTGCGAATTTTCCCGATGATTCCAACAGATGATTATTGGTATCAACTAAGAAAACAGTGTTTTCCTCTTGTTGGACAAATAACCGAATATGCAGATGTATATTTTTATCGTGAATGTTGATGCACTACGGTCAACGTACTCTAGTGATCCCTATGAGACAAAGCACGGGCTTTTAAGAGTTCGGTGCTAGAAGGCTTGACAAATGCAAATATAGGAAAAGAGTGTGAGGAATTGAACTACTGGTATTCTTCAATATTGCGCTAAGTAAGTTAGGTGAAAACACAAGTTTTAATAAAAACTCTTATTCATTCTTTCAGTTGCATTTATGTAGCTAACAAGAAGGTCTCATTTCTTAACTCTATCTTACATATCCGGTGTGTATATTGGCGATATATGAAAAAAATCGCCAAACCGTGCACTGCTGCAGAGGTTCGATGTTTTTACATATTATTCTTTTATATATGGCCATTCATTTATGAAACATCAACAACACCGCCCTTACTTTTGATGAATCGTTAATGAATTACTAATGAATGGTACTGCAGTGTACTTTCAAACTAGAATCAGATAGTTGTATTGAAGCTTTAAGGTCCTCAATTGGGTTATTCGGTGTTTCTAAACATGGAAGGTGAGAAATTTGCATACTTTTGTAAGTCTCAGAAAATTCAGCTTCACTTAATAGCAAATGGCGTTATTCGTGCCAATGGATAAGTTGAGAGAGTGAGCGTGAGAAATGATTTAGATTAGTAGAAGTGCAGTGAGCATTAAATTGTACAGTCAATCGGGTACGAAATAGAGTCACCTCGAGATAATAGTCGGAAAGTGTTCACGTCAACTGGGTTTGGTTCCTATTTGTGACGATAAGATTCAGGTCAATATAGATATACAAAGGTCAGACGCTGAAAAGAATATGCTAAGTGCACAATATGAGAAAGAGATTTGACAAGGGCAAAACCAAAATTGTAAAGTTTAAATATGTTTAAGTGTTTTAATGAGCGTGAGCAAACCAAATTAAACCCGAAGTATCGGGTCTAAGTCTAAGACAATGATCGGTATACTTTAAAGTTAATCAAAAGATAGAGACAGTATAAATATTCCCACGAGAGATACGTAAGATGCCAGAGGGGCAGGTACCAAGCGAGCTGGATATCGACAGATATGAATTAAGTTTATTTGATAATGAATGTAATGAACAATGTGAAGTTTAAATTTGAGTAAAAATTAAAATAGACTGTGGTGGCTAGTGTGGCACTAGCGTAGTGAATGAGCAGTGTGGCAGTGTAGTGGCTAGTGTGGTACTACCGTAGTGAATGACTATTCTCGCACTGAACATAAACAGTTAGACTGTAGTGGTACTGGAGGGTAGTTAAAATAGACTGTGGCTAGAGTGGCACTAGCACAGAAAGTAACCAGTGTGGTACTGGAGATTTGTCATGATAAGAGTCGATGCTACAAACGTGTTGGTACGTTGCCTGAAGGTTTTAAGTAAAATTAAATTCAGACTATGGAAAACTTAAAAAATAATGTTATATGAATAAAACGGACAATTAGTAGTAGAAAAAATTATTCAAGTAAATGAGATGAAGTATTTCAATTTAACTTAAGATATAATAGTAATTACAACTGATTATGAATTAAAAGTTTCTTAAATTCGAATTGAATTCGTTTTGTCTTACACGAGGACGTGTAAATGGTCACGATTGGCCGTGTCGGCGTGTATTACATTCGTATGAGATGCGTGTTGCCCATAGTAGGCTGTTACATTCATATGAGTGTGTGTAATTTTTGGTCGTAGTAGGCTATTGCATTAGGAGGGTTTCCTATTGTTATTTGCACATAAAGTTGTAGCGCATTACAACGTACAGTTGCTGTCACCTAGTGTGGTTCGGAAGTGGAGTTGTAAGCAGTTGCACTAGAAAAAGGCCGAGAATGACAACGACATTGCAGTTTTATGCATTACATGTAAAATTCAAATGTGTTCATATTCTATTACATTTTTATACACTTGCAGGGTGTATAATTTTAGTCAAAAGTTTGCAACGCAGTGAAGAAGTCATCTCCGACCATATAAAGTATATATATTTTTGATCAGCATCAATAGCCGGGTCGATCTAGGCATTCAGCTTTCTGAATAAAAGTTTACAGTTAGTCTTCTATACACTCTCACTCGTATATCTGAACGGGCCGGATCGAGAGACGATCGGAAAATTCTTAGAAAAAAAAATTGGCTATACCAGAGCACCCTAGAAGTCGAGTTTGGGTCGTCGTACTCGCAATACAGAAGCAAAAAGACGTAAGATTACGAATATGACTGACGAAGGACGGGCCTCCATCCGAGAGAATGAGCGGCTGAGAGCAATGCAGATGCACAACGCGGAATCAGCAGAAAGACGAGCAGATAGGATTGAGAGAAAACGATTGAGAGTTAGGCAGTCGCGTTCTGCAGCAATCGATTTGATTCACTCTCAAAATAATGAACGCGACAGGGCAAGGGTACCTGAAGCTTGGATGCTCCAGGAGGAACGGGGAAAACATTCCTCATTACATTGTTTCTGGCTACGGTTCGAGCTAACAAGGACATAGCTTTAGCTCTTGCCTCATTTGGAATCGCTGCGACATTGTTACCTGGTGGGAGGACTGCTCATTCAGCGCTGAAGTTGCCGTGGAACATGCAAATCATCGAGACTCCTACGTGCAACATTTCCAGAGCATCTGGCATGGGAAAAGTATTGCAAAGATGTAAACTCATTGTTTGGGATGAGTGCACAATGGCACACAAAAAATCGCTGGAGGCTCTCGATCGATCATTGCGGGATTTGCATGGAGCTGTCCAACCATTTGGGAATGCGTTAATATTGCTCGCAGGGGATTTCAGGCAAACGTTGCCTGTGATTTCCCGATCGATCCCAGCTGACGAGATAAATGCTTGCCTAAAATATTCTACATTGTGGCAACATGTACGTACATTACAGTTGAAGACGAATATGCGTGTCCAGTTACAGAACGATGACTCAGCCGACGTATTCTCACTACAGCTACTGGACACGGGGAACGAAAAGCTGCCAGTCAATGAGACGTCGAGAAAAATAGTATTGCCCGAAAATTTCTGTAATTTAGTTACATCGAAGGAAGGACTTATCCAAAAAGTGTTCCCCGATATCCGAATAAATTATAGAAATCACGATTGGCTCAGTGGACGAGCGATTCTCGCTGACAAGAACAAATATGTATACCAGCTCAATCATGTAATCCAGTCCAGCATAGAAACTGACGAAATTACATATAAGTCCATAGATACCGTTGTGGAGGCAGAGGAAGCAGTTAATTACCCTGCGGAATTTCTAAACTCACTTGATCTGCCTGGAATGCCACCACACATATTGAAATTAAAAATAGGTGTGCCGATTATCATGCTCCGGAATATAAATCAGCCGAAACTCTGCAACGGTACGCGACTCGCAGTCAAGAAATTGATGAACAACGCAGTAGAAGCAACGATCATAACAGGTCCTTTCAAAGGTGAAGATGTTCTCATTCCTAGGATTCCTCTGATCCCGACTACACAGTTTCAGTTCAAGAGATTGCAGTTTCCCATTCGTTTGGCGTTAGCAATGACCATTAATAAAGCTCAAGTCAATCTATGGAGTTGTGTGGTCTAGATTTGGATGCAGATTGTTTTTCACATGGATAATTATATG